GCAGTAAACGCGCCGAAGGGTTTAAACCTTAGTCTAGCAAATAGCTGCTGCAGCAGCTGTTAAGTAGCACCGTCTACATTTCCAAAGGACAATGAAAAAACCTGGAGCTGACGCTTAGCCAGCTGCAGAAGCCCTCCAGACCGCCTGCGGTCAACTAGCGGCCGGTGATCGCTGCTTGGTCTTTAGAGTGCGTAGCCAATCGGCTTCCATCTTCTTTTAGTAGCCATCTCTGCCTGAAAGACGCTACAAAAATGCGGCATCGTGACAGAAAACGCCCTCTCCAACTCCGCCATCCAACTTCGATCCATCCACGAAGATATTTTATTGGACCTCTACTCCAGAGGCTACCATTCTCCCATTCGCACCTTGCAGTAATGAGTGTGGAAAAGCATCTATTCGGCGCCAGAGTTTTCTGGTAAGAAGTCGAAGCTTTTAAGTATTTTTCAGTTCCATCTCCGGTTTATTTGATTTTAGCCTAATGGCATTCCTCTTTTACTTCGCTCCCAATCTTTAAACGGTAGTCTAAGTTTGCTTTTATTATTATTGCCAGACATGCAATCTAATCTAGCCTTTAATTGACGACTTTTGCGCAATCACAATGCATCGATGGAAATATTGGAATAAAGACAAGCTAAAGATTCTTGATCCAACATGCATATTTAGTGCTATTTTACGCTATTTTTTTCAATCGAGGATAAGACCCTGCGCTGGCATGGCTCTTTGCAAACATAAGAGGTTCCGTCAAGTTGCAGCGAGCTTCTATTTACTTTAATACAATAAAGAAATAATCGGTCGCAAATCGAAAAATTTCGCGACATAGCCCTTAGCTTTGTCGGATTTTTATTTACTCCCCTTTCCACTTTTAGTTCATACACTCCTGAAGCAGAAATATTCCAAAGTGTATGAACGAAATGTTGGCATGGAACATATTGGATTGTGCTTTGGTTTGAATTCCTACATTTTTATTATACTAAAACATTATTTTAAGCTTTAAATTTTTAGATCATAGAGGACTTAAAGTGATTATAGAAGCTCAAACATTGTCAAAGATATATAAAGCATCAAAATTAAAATATGCGTACTTTTTAAAATAAAATTAGCAATTACTTTTGGTCCCATTTATTTAAAAAAAACTATCTGTTGCCGTTACTAAATGGAAGCACCATTTCTGTAAAATCTATTATTGAAGCACTTGATTTTTATTACGCTTCCACCCCGGCCTTTCGTAGTTTGAAAGCTTATATCTAGAAGATTAAGCATTTTATACATCGTTAAAAAGGTGATTTAAGACCTACATACTTACATACATATATTTGTATCTTCAAAATTATTGAAAAATGCATTACTTATAAACATTTTGAATTAAGGTAAATATGTTGAATTTAGTAAGCTAAAAACTGAGACCATACAGTTTACTAGTCAAAGAAAAACGTTGTGTTTTTAGCGCGTCCTAAGCTAAGAAATTTATTTCCTTATTTCCTTGTCAAATTGTGGCAGTTGTGTATATGAATATAGGGCACAGCAATACTTTCTCGCCAACCATTGGCCATTCCACAGAACAATTATTCAACATTCGCTAAGGTGTTGTAGGGAACGTGCAACACAAATAACTTTTTGCACTCAAATGAGAACAAAGGTGGCAAATGCAAACCAAAACACTGCCTTTATATACATAAGTTTCGCAAAAAAAAAAAACAACCAAAATTTTGTGAAGCCAGTCACCACCGTCAACACCATCCACCACAGCAGCTCCAATACAACACCAAACGCATCAACTTCGTTTGCTAGCATGGCGAAAATTTGCTGTAAATTTTTTTGTGTAAACTCATTTAAAAGTCATTTGTGTATTTCTCAATGCTGCAGCATCCTAAGGATGTTGTTGCTGCAACAGCTGCTCCCGCAACAGCGTCGTTAATGTCAGCAAGCGGCAATCAGCCATCGCTCATCGCTAAGACTGCAAGCTGGCAGTCTGGCTGTTTGCCCCCTTTGGACAGCAATCAAAAAGGGAACAGAATACTCACGATTGTGCGCCATTTAAGTGCAACAAATTGGCACTGACCGACTAACTCGGCGGCAACAAACCTACATATATTTATATATGCACATTTCTAACAGAGCTGGCGGCATGTTTGCTGCATATTAAGTTTGCTGTAGTGCTGACAAGCTGCTTACAATCGTAACAACAATCAATACAATCGTAGACACTTTCTTGCTGCGGATGAATGCCGGCCTCATCGTTTGTTGCAAGCATAATGAAATGACAACAACTGCTTAAAACAATGTGGCGCCTGACTCTGCGGGCATTGAAACTTATTTGGCTTTGTTATTTGTTCGTCTCTCAAGGGGGAGGACATACTACATACATGCACACATCAATACATACATACCTACTTATATATGTACACTATACACATGGTACATATATACGTATGCACTGTTCCATATTGTAGGTTCGCGTCTTGAGTCTTTTGTTAATTTTGACTTGGCCACCCTTTTTACAAGGCTTTTTTTCATTAAGCAGCACGACGTTAATGAAATCATAATTTATGAGTTTTTTTCTTAGCTTACACGGGTAATACTTATTTAAAAGGGTATGTAAGAGTAACTACTAAGAGACTAATAAATTTAAATGTTTGTTTATTAGCCTTTGTACAAACGTCGAAATTAGTTGGTTGTTTCTTAACGCATTCAAACACTGAATATAAAAACTCATACTTTCACCTACTCCTTTGGTTAAGGAGATATAGCACAAAATTTAACCGCAAATATCGTAGACTTTATATTTTTCGAATCAAAATCCTGCTTTTTGGCCTCAGTACCATCTGTCGGATAGTTGTTTGGCTAAAAAGAGGCTAATTAGTCTCAAAAACCAGCTTTGCTTCTTTTTTACCATGCATGCGTAGCCATGCTTCAGCTTTCTGTGTGCATGCACCTAAGGGCAGTAAACGAGAAGTAGGGGAAGTCGGGAAATTTTTGTAAGTAAAATTTTTCTTTTTGATTTTTTTTATTATAGTATTTTAACTTTTTTTCTATAATGTCAACTTTAAGTACCCAAATGGGCGTAATGGGCTACGAAAGCGTATGGACTCTAGATCTTCTAACGCTCGAGCAATACGATAAATAGACATTGACATTTTATGAAATTGTATATTTTTAAAAGAGGAGAGGTGTATAAAAAAAAACAAAAACAATATTTAAGGTCAGAAATCACGAAAATCCCTTCAAAGAAATTGCAGGATTTTAAGCGACTAGCAGCTAGAACAAATCTCATTTTTTCGTTTTCGTTCCCCAAATAAATGTTTTCCACCAATAATTTAAATTTTTTTTATGGATTTAAAAACTGTTCATTAATTCCCCTGAAATAACATGCATAATTTAATATACAATTTGATTAAACTGCTGATAGCAAAAGAAAGTATTTCTCGTACTACCAAAACAAGCTAAACAATTTTTATAAAAAGTAAGTTTCCCCCCTAAGGCAACCCCCTGTTGCCACGGAAATATATGCCCGTTCCATTATTTCTTGAGTTAAGAGTGAGGTAATAGGCTGTGAAGCATCAGATGTCAAAATTACTTGAACACACATACGAAGTAATGGAAATTTTTTCATGAACGTTTTCTTGAGAGCTGCATACTGGCCTTTAAACTTAAAAATATACTGAGGCAGTTTTTGTGTTAACTAGGGAAAGACTGCTTCTAACTTTTAATGTACAGAGATAAAGCTTTCACAGCATATTCTATAATGCTCCTGGTAGATATTTTATGAGGTAGCTTCTAAATTCAAAGTAAAAAAATCGCTTCCCTCAGCTGCCCGAAATTTGCAAGAACAAAAAGTGAAATTCCGATTTTATGGTTTATTAATTTCTTTTAAAAAGTGCATTTTTTTGTTTTTGAATCAAAAAGTTTTATAATTATACATTTAAAGCAATTAAAAATCAAATCCAAAGTGTTTAGCTTTTTGCAGGTACTCGTATCTAAACTATAAAGCTTTTATAATTTCACAGTTCTTTGACTTCGTTTGCCTTTCATCATAAAAAATCCATTTTTTTCGCCCTTAATCCTTACCGAACACGGCGGCGGTAAGCAAAACATTAAACATAATAAATCTTTAAGCGGCCATGCACAGCAAAAATATAATACCGTAAATACATACATACATACGTATGTATGTACGTAAGCACGAGCATATTGGTGTTTTGTGATGCATGCAAGCAGCATGAGGCATAAAGCATGCGGCATGCAACATGTAACAGCGTGAGCCATCGCATACCGATCGTAAAAGGTAGATAAATAACTTACAATATTTCGGAGGTCATCCCCAAATGCCTGGCGGCTGTTACGCTGGCCGCGATGAGTTGTAGGTAGAGGTAAAACGTTTTTGAGCTTCTTTTTGGTTTTTTTTTTGTTGCTATCATTGTTACCTTTGTATTGCACGACAGAGGATATGCAGAACGAATGCGGCAAGTGCAAATTCGTAAGTTAATGCTACACAGAGTCGGCATAACTGAATGCATTTTATCCAGGCTTACGGAGAGCGGAAGGGCGTAAGCAACATTCCGCGATTTGTTGCATGATTCGATTCGTTTGCTTGTTAATTTAGTTGCACGTTAAGATTAATTAATATTAAACTCACTTAAAGTCTGTAGACTGCAGCAAACTCGGACACTGCTCTGCCGCCAACTTTACTAGCGCTCTTGACGGTAGCGGCTGTTGTAGCATACTCGCTGTGTTGCACGCATAAAGACATCGCATAATCGATTTTGTAGCATCTAAGTGCACTCCGCACTACGCTGCCATTATTAGTGGGGACATCCTCTCGCCTCTTGGGGGCTCAGTCAGTACATTTGTGGCTGCAATCTTTCCTCAAGTGTACAGTGACTAAGCCTTGGCCTTTAAACGAGTACGCGCAAAAAATAGCATAACGCTTTACGTGTAATAATTTTATGTCTTTTGCTTTATTTTTTAATATTTCTTTTTTTTCGCTTTTACCACTCTTACAGATGTCGTCGCGGCTGGCGCGGTCCACTGTGCAACGAGTGTATGGTGTATCCTGGTTGCAAGCATGGTTCGTGTAATGGCAGCGCCTGGAAATGCGTGTGCGATACCAATTGGGGAGGCATACTCTGCGATCAAGGTGAGTAGAAGCTGATTGTTTGCACACATATCTGCACAAATGTAAATATGTATGAAATGCATGAGCATGTGTTGCATGTGTCTGCGCATGTGTTGCAAATTGCCACAGTTACCAGAAATAAGTACTACATATAGCCGAAACCAATGCAAGCCACTAGCCAGCAATGCATTTGACTTCATGAAAATCTATCTAAATTACACTTCGGCAGAAAGGCTGCAACACATGTTGCATGTGTTACTTGTACCGACGTGAAAGGCAACTTACAAACCAACTGCGTGGCACTTTATTGGCAGAAATACATTTCAACTTGCCTTTGCTGCTGTTGTTGTTGACTGTTTAGCGATTTTCCATACAGTTTAATATATCGTTCAAGATGCCTGACGCGTCTGCTGCTTTCTTATGATTACATTTTACTTTTTTGCTTCTTTTTCACGCTTCGCTATTTTTGGTTTTGTTGCTGTAGATTTAAATTACTGTGGCACTCATGAACCCTGCATGCATGGCGGTACCTGTGAGAATACCGCACCTGATAAATATCGCTGCACTTGCGCCGAGGGTCTGTCCGGTGAACGTTGCGAAATCGTGGAGCATCCGTGTGCGACGCAGCCATGCAAAAACGGTGGAACCTGCACGCTCAAAGTGAGTACAAAATGTAGATAACTTAAAGCGAACATACAA